TACTGCTTGAGCAAATCATGACATTCCGAAGGCTTTAATGTGCAGATCAGCAGATAGACAGGAAATTTTACTCTGAAACTGTTTTGCTTACCATCAAACGTCCTTCAACTTAGGCACCTTTTCCACTGTTGCTGCTTCACAGGGAGTATTTCGATCACATTTTCGTAGCGGTCTATGTTACTCGTTTTTAATACTTCCAATTGAGCATCTGTGAAAGCAGCAGTAAAGGCACTTTAACTGAAGGAAGTTAGTTAATAATTGGATCCCTTTAAGGCGGCTGCTTTGATAGAATAAATTGGTGAAGATTAATTGGCCAGCCGAGTAGGCGTTTGAGTTCACTAACGACTGCTGGATGGCTTGCTGCTTGAGTTGCCAGTGTATATGTCAACGGAATGGGAAAATATTGTGACCAGGTAGGTGGAGTTATGGTTAGGAGGCTAAAATTGATAGCTGTTTATCTGCATGGTTTAATGGAACGGTGGGTTGAGCATTTGCAGAGGTGTTGATTTGGTTCGATGTACGATTGTACAGAATGGCGGGTTGTCGGATGATAGGTGTGACAGAAAGACCATATTGAACCTGACGAACTTGCTTAGGGTTGTTGTTGTTGTTCTCTCTCTCTCTCTCTCTCCTCCCTTCATGTTGAATGAATAAATGGATGATGTTTTAAAGCTAATATCACTAACGTCCTTTTCACAACAATCACTACAGACATTCATCCCGGGTCCGCCCTTTGCCTTTGGCGCATTTCTTGCTCTCTCAGCAATCCTGGTAGCCATTCTCATTCCGGACAACCACGCCTACCTTAATCTCCCCACCACCGTCTCTGGGGCTGCTGCATCCGCCACAGCCCAATCCAAATCGCGCCGTCTAGGTCATGGAATGTCTTCGAACTCGGAGAGCACTTCGAACCTCCTTTTAGCTTGTGAAGAGGAAGAAGTGGAGGGTTATGGTTGTCCCAGCCAGGACGCAGAATCTCCCTCCTCAAATTCCAGTTTCGTCGCATTCACGTCCAATGCCATTGACAGGAGGAGGTGCGCTATTGTTTAGTTTGTAACTTACTAGTTACCGGTTGGATGGATGAGAAGGTCGTTGTACAAGTAATCTGAAAGGGTGCGGAACAGATGTGATGATTGACTAGTTACACAGATAGGCGTATTGAAAAAACGATTGAGTGAGTCAACGGGTCGAGGGGTCGCAAAAGGAACTTTGATTAAGTTTTGTTAAACTGCTAGTGGATAGAGCAAGGGAGAAATTGGGTGAGAAAGAAGGGCAAATTGTTAGATGTGCTAGCGCGTATTTATGGGGTAGAGTTGAAGGCTTTTGGAGTCGGCGGGTAACTCTGGTAGACCACAAGTATTTTATCAAATTTTGTAAATTCGACAGCATAAAGTTATGCCTGACTTCCACGACTCTGTTGGCACAAGCTTACTATCCCTGAAAGTTTCCATGACTCCTCTGCATGGACGTGGATGTATTTCTTTGATAGGGCGCCCGATTTCCCTCTGCGGTCGTGGGCTATGACTTCAAAAAATCACCTTGAAAACCAAATGACTTTCAAACACATGATTTGGACAGTCGTTTGTAATTTGTGAAATGAGAAATTACACGAAGAGGCTCATAAATTGATTTTATGAATTCTTGGATTGTATGACATATAGCGCTGTGTTCAGTAAAAACCGTACGTCGTGCACTCCCCATGTCTTACAATTCAATCACAAAGTGTTGCCGTCATCGTCGAATTTTTGAAGACAAATGATCCAAATGTGATGTCTTCAGTCCACCATCTGCATTCATTTTATGCATTTGTCTCTTCAAAAAGGCGTTCGCAGATTTCATTGAGTCCCAAATGCGACATCTTTATCACTCTGCTAAGTTGTCAGGAGGAAGGGGAACAATTTTAGCTCTGGAGATGATCTTGTTCAGTAACTCAACACCCACCTGTTGTTACTGTTTTACGATCCCTTCGATTGGTTCTACTCGTTGGTGGTGATCAGGAGGCCTCAGTTCCTAAACTAATTGTGTCTTGTTGACATGGAGATGCGGCGAATTCCCCATGTGAATGCCCTGTAGAAGGCATCTTGAAGTGTACAATTCTTGCTCACCACCGAGTGGATTTTCTCACGAACACCTTTGGCCTTTTTGTGTTGAGGGAGAGTCAAGTTTTCGATATTCTCAATATCTTCTTCAACAACGAAAGTGCATTGTCTCCTCAGTGTAGGACTGTACTTTCGCTAACTTTGAAATGGCAGCTTCCATGCTGTTTTTTTGTTAGAGTTACTTCGTCGCTGAAATGGAGCAGAATGCAGACCCTGTGTAGAGTTTGGAACGTCATTCGAAGGGAGTAGTTGAGCGGACAGAAAGCGTATGTGCTGTTGGTAAACAAAAGTACATAAGTGAATCGACAAAGGAGGAAAAGGTGTGTTTGAATGGTTAGGCCTTCTGCGGACGATTAATTGAAAAGTGCTTATCTGACTAGAATACTAGTTCAGTGGGTAATAAAGAAGTGGACGCGTGGACACCGGACTGCTCATGATCGCAGATTCCAACCAGTCCGATTGATTAACTAGTTGAGTAAGGAAACAATCTACTCCACGTCTTTGCATTGCTTTCAGACGCCTTCGAGATTGTCGACACCACCGTCAACCCTCCGCCAGCAAGATCCCCCGCATTCCTCAAGCCGTACCTCCCGTCAATACCACTGCACAAACTTTCTTCCAGGCTCACACCAAGCTTGCAAATCCACTACGTCGAATCATCTCCGGCGGCTTTCGACAGCGCTCCAACTCATTGCGGCCGCAATCGGCCACTTCCTCCTCCAATCATCACTTCTTCGGTGATGTGCAAACGCAGGAGACAGAGGCTGCAGATCTAGCCAATTTTCGAGTATCACGCAAGATCTCTGAAGGGGTCGCTGGAAGTGGTGGAGGTGGTGTCACTGAACCTGATACTTTCTTCCTTCCTCAATCGTCAAACTTAACCTTCTTTGGTGGTGGTCAGTCGCTACTCTTTTAACGATATTTTGTAACTGTAAATAGATCCTTCAAGGTGTGGTCATATTTGCGTTTGAGAATAGCAACCATCAACTTTTGAAGCGTTTCACCTCTATCATAAAGTTGTAGCTGTTGAAGGCTATGCATCTTTCTGCATTTGCAAAGTATTGCAGTAAAGACCGTTTTCTGCTACACTTTGTCGCATTAATCGTATGCATTGTAATTAAATCATCCTTTGGCGCGCATTGTAGACCGAGTCTTCGAAGTTGTAAGTGTTAATGCATGGTTTTGTTGACTCACTTGCTTTTGGGGAAAGAGTTGTGAAATGGACAAGTCATGATGGTCAGGGTTCAATGTAGAACATGTGGGCTGGAAAAAGCTGAGGATGTTGGAAACCACTTCCATCGAAACACATTCGGTTGGCTACCTTTTGAACTTCAACAGCAATCCTTTAAACATCTCACTGGCCGAATGGCTATGTATCCTGCCACCTTGCACACAGGAGGACATCTACATTTACCCTTAAATCACACAATCGCTTGTTGGTTGTCATCTCATCCTCGTGGTGATTATTGAAATTGGATTGTCCCTTGGCGCATGCTCTACTGTAGGTTGGAAAGGTTCGGGAGGCTGGTATTGTTGATGGTGATGTCAGAGGTTATGGTGACCGATTCGCGGGGCGCAACATGTCCTACAGCGAGGTAGTTTAATGGAAGTGTTCGCTTGAAGGTCGAATCCGATCGGCCTATGTCTCTCCTTTTTTCCTTTTACTCAAAACTGTCTTCAATTCTTGATACTTTGTTGAAATGACTGTTGCATTGCAAACCTTCAGAGACTTACGCATTTGTAATGAACAGTGTTTTGTGCAATCACAAAGCAATTCGCCCGTACACAGATGCTCTTGAAAGTGTCAACAGAATTAGTCCTTTCTTTGCAAGAAAAAGTAGGGCTACAAGTCCTAAATCAAACGCTTTTTGGGGGGAAGGAGGAGGCAACTTGTGTTGTCACCTTTGGAGCAGAAGAATTACCAATGTTACAACTGCTTTTGTTTCCCGATCGTACGCATGCAGTACAATTTGGATGGTAGCGTATCTGTTTTTTGTTTGGGCTTTCTTTATTGAAGCTGAAATGGTCCTCTCGGAGTCGATGCTTAAAAACAAATCTTCAATTCCTTCTCTCCTTTCATTGTGGAACATCTTTATTTCCCCTTGTGTGAGGCGAGGAAATGTGAATGTAGCACTGCAAGCTATTCCAGAGAAGGGCATCGGAAGACCACGTGCATAGACAGACTGCTGTGTTAGGTTGCTACGATAGTTAGGGAGTTGTTGGAGCAAGTACATCAATATTACCACATGTTTTTGGGTATTATTTTTAACAATCTCTTTTAGATTCACTACACCATGCTTCTCATCTGCATTCATCATCCCCTCAGGCGATGTAGAGGCTGGCCAAGTGAGCACCTCGAGGCGTTTAAAGTATTTTTGCATTTGGAAGTGGTGGGAACGGCTGCGTGTTTGCATGGATGTGTGACACTTTTACTCAACTCTAACTTTACCTGCCTTTCTTCTCCCCCTCCCCCACTTCTCCCTCTTTCTTTCTACTTTCAGTATGTATACCTGTGTAGCTACACCTCTTCCCCTTTCACCTCCATCCTGATTGGTTTTTGATCGTTATTAACAGTGAGCCAAATTTTTTTGTGTAATATAACCCAACTTTATTATGCATTTTGGACTTTGCATCAAGTCGAGGATACTGCAATTGCAGGCTTTGAAATGCATTGCATCACCTTAAACCAGGCGCTTGCATGTAAGGTAAGAAAATTGTCGACTTTGCCAATGTTTAAGGAGAGGTAGTGCACGTCAATAGGGTTTCAAAGTGTCTTGGTTTTTCAACAAAAAAAATTGTATTTTAATGCAGTTTTATGTGGACAAGTTGTGCGACCCAAAGAATTTTGTGATGGCTTTCTAGGGGACACTTACGTCCTAGCAACCAATGCGTGACGACAAGGTAAGTTCTTATGCATTTTGAATGAGCTTGTTGTAGTGATTTATTGTGACTCTTTGTCCATGAGTAAATCGTCTGTCTGTTTGGTGTTGCGCCTTCTGCCAAATCCGTAAGTTAAAAGAACTTGGTGAACGTAAGTTGAGATTGGTGGCTCTCTGGAGCCTCCTGTCTAGCTTTCGAGAGTAAAGGTGTAACGAGGGAGGGGGCTGAGGAGAAAAATATTATCGTCCAAGAGTGTAGTAAACTACACAAGCTAGATGAGTGTTGCACCACATTTAGGAAAGCTCTCTCGAAAGACACGACCCGCCTTCTTGAAGTGAGTCAAAAAAATTACTTCTTGTCGTTGTTGTTGATGCATGCACTTGGGCAGAAGAAAAGTTCGATGTGGAGGACACCGGTGTCTTGCATTGGCACAACTGCCAATTGATTGTGAGGGAGTGTTGGGACTGTAATCAAATCTGCTAATAATCATCAGGCTTACATTCTGCATTTCCGTTTTCCTGCGCCTGTTACCTGAGAGAGGGTATGTGTAGGTGTTGAAACGGAGCCAAAAAGCTTGCTTTGACTTATCGAAGAAGGGCATGGAGAAGTACACAGTAACCGATTGCTGTAGCCCACATTTCTGGTACATGCATTGAGTGTCATGGAGGAGTAGAGAGAAGGGGTCATGTTAGATGAGAGTGACATTAATTGTAATGAAAACATTATCTTCGAGTTTGTGAAACGCTTTCATTGAAAACCATCTTTCACTTTCATTGGTCCTTTTTTCCAAGTAAATTTGCATAGTGCCACAACAACAGATGAATTCCATAAATGTTAGCGGTTGGAGAACTTTTCAAACTGTAATGACCTTCCTTTTTTGGCATAATTTTATCTCATATTCGTACTCAACTCACCCACCACGAGACCGTGTACCGCGTGTACTCAAAGCCAGTTTTTACCAAACTATTGACTCGGACATTTTCGTCATGAATTCTCTCTCTCAAGTGGCTAAAAAAGGTAGTCTGTTGACTTTGGTGCTTAATTTGTCTCCAATCATTTATCCAAGCTCAATAAGTTTGCAATTCTTTTCACCTTCTCGCCGCCATATTTATCCTTGTCGAGTGAATTGACCTCGGTTCCAGTAGCCAGTTACCAGTAGCCCTGATTCTTTTGTCTTCTGACGCCTTTAGGGGTCTCTGGGGACGCTGCAAGGTCTCAGATTTGTCACAGTAAAGTATTTACTGTAATTTTTAATCGAGGTTCATAGTAAATGGCGCGCTTATCTGTACTACATAATCGAAACGAATGTCACGACATTAAATCGTGGTTGTCAAATTCACTAGTCGATTCCAACAATCAACACCTTTTTTTAGCGGAAGAACGCTCAAAGTTGATTGTGTGGCCAAATTTGCAAAGGTGCTTGAGTTTTTGGATAACTTTATTAAGGCCGTACAGGATTAACTCATCATTGTCTCTAATTACCTGCATGCGTAAATGTGGGCATGCAACAGGGTGTGATGACGAGTGGTAATTTGATCGACAATTCATTCATGCAACATTCAAAGGTTGAAATTGATTGGGTTGAGAGCTTTGAGGACTGCCAGTGTGGAGATGTCCAACGTCCAAATCCTCGCTATTCACTCCTGTGAACCAGCATTCAACAAATGGAGCTATGGTTGCTGAAAGTGGAAACCCTTGAATAAGTGGCACCAACAAACTCCTTAATTCAGGGAGTCTTTCTATGAGCAAGTAACCCACACCGGCTATCGCACCATAGACTTAACGTCTTTACTTAAGCCATAAATAAGTGAGTATAATCAAGCCAGCAAAATTGGCTTGGTTCTCCAGCATAGCACTGCAACCTTGAGTCCATTTCCTGTGTCGTGAGTTCAGCCATTAACCCTTAGTCCTCACATTTGAAATATAGAGTAGCACCCATAAAATGCTAGAGAATACCGTGCTTCTGACCTTCCAATCCCTTTGCATGTGCAAAAAAATTGGCACCCACCCATCCTCCCAATATGGCAAACAAAATATACGTAACTTTGCTATTTTTGAGTAAGTAAATGAAAGTGTATCTGGTAATAAATGCGACACAATGGTCTAAACCTTCTTGAAATGAGAAAATTGTTAATGCTGTGAGGTGCTCCTTTATCAAAATAACTGCTAGTCTTCCGGGATAGCGTAGATAAGGCTCCACCCCTGATATCACAGAGGTTACTGTTTTGGTGGTCGATATTACCTACCCCAGCTCTATCCGTAGTAAGGGATGAAGGTTAATACAGCAACTTTTGCAATGAAAAAAACCGAATTATCAAGTTTTCATGAATGTCATTAGAATTCGACAGGTCAAGCAGATATTCTAGAGCCTTAGTTTTCTTCGTAAGGTAAGTTTACTCTGTTCTCTAAATTACTACCAACAAAGTTTGCGATGCCCTCGGCTAGATTGCACTTAACTTGGCTTGGTAACCATTACGAAACGCAAGGACTGAAATCATTACAAATTGACACGTAAAATAATCCTATCTGATGCAATCAAAAAGCTGTAACACCTCAACACAGCGAACATGTTTCAACACGCCCTAAGTACCAAAACACCTCGGGCTGCCCTTCGGTAGTCATGGTAACCAAAAGTTTCAATGTAACTATTGGTGTAGTGTAACAAAAGTACTTAATGGGCAGACCAACAAAAAGCTATTCACAACGATCGAAGTCTGTCACATTTAAAAAAGGAAGTAGAAATCGATGCAGCTGTGATAATCAGAATTTTCATGAAAATGGTAATGCTCAAATGCACCGAAATTAATGGATTTTCATAACACCGGTGTTGTTTATCACACTTTACTCTCAGGCTCATTCACTTCCATCTTAATGGGCGATAGGTTGCCCTAAGAAGCCTTACTAGATATCTATTACAAAGTACAGGGCGATAGTAAATAGGATTCGGCTAATTCGGGCATCGACATTACTTCTAAAAGAGACGCTTGCGCTCATACACCACGGTGTTTTGTGTTGAAGCACCTCTACCTTGTAAAGAAATTTTAGACCGCCACAAGGAAACTTAGCAGACGCAGAAAGATGGCCATACTATAGGACTAGTAAAGCGGGTTTATGTGTGCCATGGCTATAAAGACGTCCGAAGATAATCGCTTAGTGATGGGGCTAGTCCGTACTGCATCTTTTGCTTGTATAATACTTCCATTTTGGATTGCGTCGTTGTCAAACGTCGCAAAGCTTAAGGAATAAGTTGGACTCCAATCAATGCCAATTGAAACTGTTCAGAGAAGGCAATTTAATTACTGTACCAAGTTTACAATTGTAATTGTAGCGCTTTGTCTATGTGACCACTTGACGTTTAGCGGTCACTTTAAGGTTTGCCTGGCCCTTTTTCATGTGGATTGAGTTTGTTCTTTTGAAATACATGTATCCGGCTTTACTTGCTGTTTTTTTCTACCCATTGGGAAGTCTCAGAACGTTACAGAGATACTTTTTTGTTTGAATACCTGAATTACTGGCGGCAAACTTTGCAATACTTTGCTTATGTGACCATGTTATATCTGGCGGTCACTCTGGTATTCGTTTTGTTCTTGCACTCATAGGCTGGTCTTCGAGCCATACCAAGGCTCAATCTCTTCTCGTCCTCTTAGAGCACACGCATTAAGTCCAGCTTAATTTCATTCTTTACCTCGTGGAAAGTCTGGAGACGCAAACCCAACTTTTTAAACGACCCCCTATCCTAGTATCTACTGTTTGTGACGTCTTCGGTGCGAAGGTAGTGCATATGCATTGGAGGTATGGAGGAGGGAATAGATACCCTCTAACATTTTTTACAATATGTGGGGTGAAAATGTTAGCATCGTAAACATGTAAAAAATTGCGCATCAAAGTTCTCCCTACTGCGTTTGTGTATGGATGTCAACGATGACACTGCTCCGAACCTCCTTACATACATGACTGTACTAAATATCAATTTCCCAGTTTAACATCGGTTTTATACCAATGCTTTAACGTCTAGTCCTCTGAGCAAGTGACGGTTAAAGTTGCATACGACATTAATGCGTGCTCTCAGACCGAACGTGACTCCAGACCCAGTAGCATCGGTGACTAATGATAGGCCCACTGGCTCGTGAGTGTCTCCTTATGGCACCAAATGCGTTGTGATGGCTGATGCAGGACACAAGAAGGGAAGCACTGAGAGCGTCGCTTAAAAGGGGGGAGGTGTAGCTTCTTGAAACTACCTATCAGGTGGGAAAAGGCATCAATTTGGGTGGAGAAAGATGGATCTGGCCTGAACTTGGTTCCGTGGCCAATTCACACGTACAAGGGCCAGGCAACTATCAAGGCAACCACCAGACATCAAGTGGTAACATGAAAAGCTATTACAAGAGGAGCAATGGAATACAATTCATGAGACTGATTATTGTCTAGCGGTTATTTTGGTATTTATTTCGCTCATACACACGTGGGCTGGCCTTTGAGCCATACCAAGGTCCAAGGTTTCCGCCTAGGATACATGTATTCAATCCAACTTAATGCCTTATTCAATTAAGAAGCCTCAAGGAGCTGCAACTTTAGTACATATACTGCTCGTATAAACTTGGGCTGGCTTTTAAACGAAGCTAAAGCCAATTCTCACTCCATGTCATTGACTGAATGCACTCAGCCCTACTCACTGCCTTCTATTAACTGCGAAGTCTTGGCACAAGTATATAGGCGTCAAAATTAGTACAAATTCTTTCTGCTACATTTAACAAGGCAGCAATTTCGGTTCCTTAAGCTGCAATGCTTGTAGCACCTTTCTCTTAGCTCCCTCCGTCTTTAATTTCTGCCTTATGAGAAGGAATGAAATGTATACTAATGTGCTTAAGTTTGTCTTTAAAGTAGAGAGACGAGAAAGTAATTCAAATGCAATATCAGTTCGCGACGAGTATGGAGATACGTTCTCAGGGTAACTTCGGCTTTCCGTCTTATTAAATTCTCCCGTTTCCTTCCCTTCTGTATATGACGCCTAGTAAAGTGTCGTCAAATAACCGTCTTCTAAAATCCGGTCACTGAAAAGTAGAGGTGGCTGAGAAGAATAAAGGAAAAACGGCCTTCATTGTACCAAACGGACCATACGAGTTCCAAATGATACTTTTTGGGCTCTGCGACGCGGCAGTCACCTTCCAGCGACTTATGCAGACTACATTGCGCGGCCTATTCCCGAAACACTGCGTTATCTATCTGGACGACATCCTCGTTTTCAGGGGAGACATCAAACAACATAACTCCAACCTCTAATCGGTGTCGGATCGCCTTAGAGAAGCAGGTCTGACGCTGAATCTAAAAAATGCAGTTCTCCTCGAAACTCGGTCAAGTTTCTGGGACACATTTTCTACAGATGGCATGACGGTCACGGAAGACAGAACGAGACAAATGAGGACGAGGCTGACTCCTATTAATCAAACGGTACTTCACAGCTTCCTTGGTTTGGCTAGCTATTATCGGCATTTTGTAAAAGGTTTCGACAAGATCACGAGTCCTCTATAAAAATTGACCGAGAAACAGACAAAAAAGGGGTTCTACTGGGAAATCAGTCATGATCTTGGTTTTACCCAACTTCAATGCTGAGACTCCTCCTTTCGTGCTGAGCACAGACGCAGGCGATGCGGCAGCAAGTAGTTCTATCTTAAAGTGCTAAAGACGGGAGAGAGCATGTGATCGCGTACGCCAGCTCACGTCAACGTAAAGAAGAAATGCAACAGAATGGGAACTCTTCGCCATTTGTACAATGGTTAGGCATTTTAAACACCACTTCGTAGGATAGCATGGTAGAAGACGATGAATGGGATGAACCGCTCGGTTGCGAGGTGGTACGAAGAACTCCAGCAATATGATTTTATAGTGCAATGTAGGAAAGTAAACCCTCATGGCAATGCGGGCGCTCTGTAACGGAGATCTCTCTCTCCATCCACGGATAGTAACACAGTAGATGCTCTGTTATTGAGCAAACCTACTTCCCATCACTGGAGTAACGCGCAGAGCTCCGAACCTGATACAGCTCTAGTTTATGAAAGACTAAGGACGTCCCTTGCCAAGTCCACAATTGGGGTGATGAGTTCGGCGGGCAAGAGAGCCAAGCCAATATGGCTGAACTGGGAAAAACCATCTCTAGAAGACGACGCCATATGGTACCAAGTTGACAATGTGACATGTCCTAAACGCCTCGTAGTACTGGTTCCTTGATGCAGACAGCCTTATTGGGGCTGCAAGAACAACCTGACCATGTGGGTGACAGGAAGATGCCTGACGCTCCAAGGAAGAGGTATTAGTGACCCTCGCTGACATCGGGTGTCTCTGATTTTTGTCGCGCCTGCGTCACGTGCAGCAGCTTGAAGAGCTCAACTCGTACAGTGGTAGCCCCTCTACAGTCGATGCCAACAGGCTTTCCAGAGTAGCGAGCAGGCGTAGATATCATAGGCCCGCCGCCCACGACTCCGAGAGGGAAGAGTTATATTTTGGTGATGGTTGACCATTTCACCACGGTCGCGGAAGCCGAATCATTACAGGCGCAGGATGCTGAGACAGTAGAGACCGCATTCAAAGAGCTGCACAAAGCCTTTGGAATCCATAAGACGCATACAACCCCAAATCACCCTCGGGGCGATTAGCAATTAGAGAGGACAAATCGTATTCTCGTGGACCTATTGAAGGTCTTTACCAATAGAATTCAGACAGAAAAATTGGGATCGACGCCTGGGTCACGTCCTTCCCCACCCACAACTCGACTGGAGTCACATCTTTCGAGATATGAGGGTTTCTTCTGGCATTTTCCTTCCCCATTTTATTAATTTTTGTAATAAAGCTTCTTTAGCTAACCCTCTCATGGGTTCGGGGGGTTAGGGGTCTGAGAGTAGGCAGGAGGGCTCTACAATGGAGACTGTCATAATGGGAATTTAATGGCGATTGGTTTGGGGTTTCGGACTGCTGGAGTAAAGGTACAGCTGTGCCTTTCTAGCTAGCTATGAAAAGACTCCTCTCACTCCACGGCATCTGTTAGGATTCGCGATTCTTTCCCGCAAGGCACAAAAAATTAAGCATTTTAAATCCATAAATGTATTATTTTTCACGGTAAGTTAGATATTTGCCAAGTCTTGCGTTTACTTGTCTCAAAGCCGTATATAATTCATAATCTGGTTTAATGCACTCTATTTGATTATTTGTCAGCATTGGCACCTGGAATTTGTTTTAGTCGTTCTAAATAATCAGCGAACTGAATGAGTGTGCTGTAGCATTTACTAGTTGATGGTGAGGTAGTCGGTGCAGCTTTACAATGTTTGCGGTAAAGTGGATGCAAAGGAGCGTATGTCATGATGAATGGTTACCTATCCGTTAGAAAAAAGGCTCTGTTTCCAAGCCGGGTGATGCGGAACTACGGATTAATAGTGATTTTATTCGCCCCAATGTATGTGGGTCTTGATTTGGTGATATTTTGTTTTCTCACAGAACCCAGTTTGCACGCCTACACTGAAATCTTTCGACTCAGCCATTTTGAAAGAAATAATAAGTGAAATTGATGCAAATTACTTCTCTTTGGGTATTAATTGTAGTGAGTATGAAATACAGGTGAGCTTTTAGTATCGCTGAATTGTTGATTGGATCGACTTTCAGCATAATCTTGCTCATAATTACCGTGATCAGAAGGCAATAATGGATCGGGTCGAAGTGCTGGAGAGGCAAAACGATGCGGTCTGCCGTCAGTTATCAAGTTTAATTCTGGAGAAGCAGCCTCAATATCAAAGAGAATTGAAAAACGTCATTCTTCTACAAGAAGTAAATTGTGCTGCATATGAAGAGTGCATCGAGACACGAAGATCTTTGGAATCCGTCCTGAAGAGTGTCGTTGAACCTCGAGCTATCGTGATCCGTAATTATAGGCGGCGTCTTCGACTGAAGCGTGTGTTGGAAACACTCACACGTATTCAGGCGCTGCAGAATAGTGTTATCACTCTAAACAAATTGATTCAGGAGCATAAGTTTTGCGAGGCAATTTCATTGCATCGAAAGAGCTGTCAAACAACGGAGGATTTCAAACCCTATACCTGTGTTGAGTATGTGTAACTCCTTTTGGTAATTTTTCCAGTTTGTTGCAACAGTCCCTGCGTGCTGTCAATCACAAAATTGACGACGCTCTTGACGAAATTCTTGCTGAAAGCTGCGAAAACTTTGATCCATGTCAGTATGAAGCTCTTCAAAAGGCGTTTGAGTAAGCCAATAATTGGATGGGCTTTAAGACGCCCGTTTGATAGACGTTTGGGAAGCACGATGACGACGATGGCTCAACTACAGCTTCACTACACAACGAAAATACATGAAAGGGCTGCGGTTGTTCTAACCAGATTTTGTGGAGCAAATTCTACGGAGGACGCCAAATATGTCGCAGAATATGAGAAACTGTGTGCTGTGAGTTGATTAAGAACAGATTATGAGGTGGAAAACTATGTATTTGGCTTTCAAACTTTAGCTTATTAATTAACTTGTGGACGGAAATGTTTAACGGATAGACGCTTGCGTGTTTATTCGTAAACGATGAAATGCTGAACCTTTTTACTCTTTTTTTACTTCATTGTTGGAAGACTATGAATGTGTGACCAACTGCAGGCAAATTTTTCATGTGCTGAAGCTCATGGATCATCTTGTAAGGCGACCTTAGCTAATGCAATAAAACTTTTGTCAATGAGCTAGGGCTTGTGGATCAGTGGGAAGAGTGCAGTGTTCTCAATATTCGCCATAATTTCCTTGGTATTCATCTCTCAACCGATGAAGCTCAAGTGGGGAGGACTATATTTAGATTGTACAAAATTGTAGTTTGCAGCAGTGCTACACCCTTTTAGGTAATTGTTGGGAAGGTTATTTTTATTTCCCTGTAAGGTGAGGATATGGTCTCATGCTTGTACTTCCCAGTACCTTTTGGCTGCAATGTGTAGTTTGGGGTTGGTTATCTGTACTCTTACATTTAAGGAGATCGTCTCTTTATTTATTTTTGACATATTAGGTAGTTCCAAATGGCTTTGTTTTTAGCTTAGTTGTTTTTCTCTCTCCAATAGACTGGCTAGTTTTGAGGTACTCAACTTTATTTGCAAATTGGTGCATATGTTTCTTTTGGGCCCAGGGAAGAGAAACCGATTTTACAGTTATGCATAATAGTGATGTATATAGTGTCACAATCTGAGGGATGACTAGACCCTTTCTCCCATCATTTTATCTTCAAACTACTAATAACACTAGTGTATTCCAGTACAACCGACTCAACATTTTGACCACCGTTTTAGACCCTTCCAGCCACGACATTGGTACCAGCGCTCTCTGGTCTCTGCAAATCTCTTTGGACCATCATAGTTTGCTATCACCGCACCGCATTGTGGCACGAAAACGCGTCTCACCGCAATCAGAATGGCGACCAGGATGCTGAAATCGACGATGAAGGAGAAGAAGTTATCCACGCACCCGAATTAGTCTGTCAGTGGCATGGTTATGTGGCCTCCAAGTTGGGACTGAATCGGGGTCGCGTGTGGATGGATTTGGTGTCCCGAGTTAGACCCCTGCTCAGCAGCATAGCCACCAACTCGAAACAACTCACATTCGAGGAGATTGTAGCCACATTAAACATTGTAAACAGGTGTGTTGTTCGATGATGCCACGTTAAGATAAGCTTACCTACTCGGGTAACTTTTTTTTAACCGTAGATTAGTCGACTAACCCTTCTCTCATGCCAGATTAGTTCGGGTTGGTGAAGAATTCGCAGGCCATGTGTCGTTTGACCTGTTGGAAATGCTGAAAAACTCCACCCGGGGCTTCTTCGGGGAGTTTCACCGAAAGCATATGGAGCGACTTAGGTTGTTTCTGGATCATGAGAGTTGGGAGCACGTTCCTGTCCGGCCAGGATTCTCGCTTTTAGATTTACACGCAAGTTTCCTGCACTCCTGTTGGTTGCGTAAAACTTCACGTATATTTCATTAAAATGAGCCCCTGTGGTTAATGAGGACTTATGGCTCCCTCTGTTATTATTATCTTTGTTATTCTCGTCTTGTTTTCTAATGTGACTTCAATGTGTGTACTACTGCGCTGGCAAATTCATCTGGTTTTGTAAATTAAGCTGTTATTTGGCTGCTTTTATGGTTAAAAACTGCATGAGATTGTTGGGCTGCCTCATATTTTTATAGGAGAAGTGTTTGGGAACAAAATCCATGCATAAAATTTCAGTCATTGCCGTTAGACTTCCCAATCAAACGATCCTTTTATTTAACCTTATTATTGGCATCCACATGAGGTATATTGTGCGGCAACCTTTGGTAAGAACGTTCACTTGGAGGTACACATTGTTAAATACCACCAAGAAGCTTTGCTCTCTTTCCCCTTTTAATCCCATTACTATTTCGATGTTGCTCAGCCAGTAATTTGAATTATTCCTTATTTTTTGCCCGCGACGAGGCTAGATTTTGAATTCAATTACTAG